ACATACATATACATACATACATACATACATACATACATACATACATATACATAAATACATACATATACATATATACATACAATACATATATACATACATACATATATACATACATATACATAATACATACATATACATATATACATACATATACATATATACATACATATACATATATACATACATATACATATATACATACATATACATATATACATACATATACATATATACATACATATACATATATACATACATATACATATATACATACATATACATATATACATATATATATACATACATACACATACAGGAACAGATGCTCCTCACTTAGCTATTGCTAAGTGGTGATTGGCAAGTCACACAAAAAAAACAAATATGCATCATTAGGTTGAAATGGGGTGGTAAGGAAACAAATCATATATACATGTAACATTACTAAGTTAGAAGGGAGTTAAGGAAACCAAAAACACATAATATCATAATGTTTTTTGGCAAGACTTTATACTTTATTTCTTATTTCTGCTACATTAACACTAAGTATAGTGAAACAAACAATGAACATGAAATGAAAAGTTGAAAAACATGAAATAAAAAAAAATACTTTTTTTCTAGAATGATTGCAGATTGTAACAAATAATTACAATTCTTTATCCTAATAGCCTCAACTTTCTAACCTTTTCACATCTGTTTTCTTTTGGTTACATTACTTTTCACAGTGAGAAAAGAAAAGTTAACAAAAAAAAAAAACAATTCTTGTGATTGCTTGCTTGTGTAATGCATGTGGTATGAGTTGGTGCAATGTAACTCAGTTCGTTTGTTTATACTAAGTTGTCCTGCTGTGATATATTGTGCTTCATGTACTGATAGATGTCTAATAGATCCCTAATAATTTTAATTTTTACATTTTAATTACTTTTTTTAAATATATATAAAAAAATATACACAAAAACACCATGTACTTTACACCTATAGGCTTTTTGGTACTTCAGAACATGTTTCAATAAGACTTTTTCTCATTATGTTGGTTAATCATTCATAAAATAAAACATGTTGCTTTCAAATATATTTTTGAGAACATATATCAGGCAGTAGGATAAAATGTCCCACAACTATTATAATTTAACTGGCTTTCTAGCTAAGCTATAAAAAGATTAAAAGAAATTCTGTTAGCCGATTGAAACTGAACACCATGATTTCAAACAATAAAACCAAGGTTAAATATCTACTTATGAATGCCAAAACGAAATAATCATACAAGAATTCTTCCAAAGCAAAAGCTGCTCTTTCTATATTAGTTACAAATAATCCAACAATATCTGAGAGAATTATTGAAAGTTTTTGAAAGACAGAATGACATGGAAGGGCATGTCATGTGGGTTTGACATTTTCTTTTATCTCGGCAAAACAAGAACATTGGAGGTTAAAGTTATATTCTGACCTATAAAATATCCATACTGTGTGTTTGCAATCAGTTGGAGATTAAGAATATCATAAGAGTATAAAGAAAATCTAAAATGGCCAATTTGAAGAACAGACATCATGTGAGACAAGCAAATATTGAGAATTATTTACTTTGTAAGTTGAATAATTAAAATTAATAAACATAATTGAATTATGAAGTAAGTTCTGATGTCAAGCTTATTGACATACATTAATAATAAAGTTTTAATTAAATTTATATGTAACTCTCTAGCCCTTCAGACTCCTGATGCTGAAAATTGGGTTTACACACCTGTAGTGGATAGACAACAGATAGCTCATTGTGTAGCTTTGCACTTAACAACAATGAAACAAAAATAAACCAAATAATTCTGTAAAAGATCACGACATGCACACTTTGACCCAGCTGTTAACATATGTTAAGTGCATGATTCTTGAAAAACTTGTTAAAATAGCAATTAATTTTCAATATAAAGAATAAAATAATCAAATCTTTAAACCACAAAGACTAACTTAATAATCCTTAACTATTCAGTTTGGTCACTTAAAGCTTATAGAAATGAAGGAAAAAAAACAAACAGTTTTTTAGTGTTAAAGAAACACCAAGAGTTACAGAACTCAAAAACCTCAATTGTAAGTTAGAAGACATCCATGTCATTAAATTAAGAAAACAAATCATCTAAATATTTGAAATATAAGCAAACGCACATCTAAACCTTTATACTACAGGTTAGGTTATGATGTATAAGAGATGGACCTTCACTTTTGAGGTAGAATACAAAAATCTCAAACAGATTGTCTGAATGGCAAAACTGTTAAATTATGAAGAATCTTGACCATAATAAGGTGGGTCTTAAACTTAATTCAATAGAGATTTGTTCAACTATTTTTCTATATATATATATATATATATATATGTAATTATGTGAAATAGGAAAAACAAAAATTTGATTCATCCATATGATATATGACTAAATGAATATTTGATCTAACTAAGCACTGACTGTTCCTGGCAGCTCTACATAAACACCCATTCTTATATGTTCTAAAATCATGCATCACAGAAAAAGACCAGCTTTCTTACTCATCAGGAGGGGATGGAGAAACAATAACTTCATCTGTGTTATTAACCTGATCCTTGAGTGCTGGAAAGCTGAAGAAAAGCCAACAGTATCTTATTTAAGGAACAGGACCAGTAACATTGGAACCTTTAATCTGATCCTTGGCAGCTGTAGAAAAGCCAACATTGTTATTTAAGAAAAATGGCCAGTAAAATAGTGACCTTGAGTCTGATTCTTAGTGCTTGAAAACTGCAGAAATTCCAAAATAACGTCAAGAAAAACAAAATTCATGTTGGTTGATATGACATTTATTCTGGTACTTTTGTGTGGGAATACTGGAAAAAAATTCATAATATCTAATAAAAACAAAATATCAATATTAGTAAGTACACTTCCGTTTTTATGCACTAGAAAGTTAATTTAATGATGAGAAAGCAGTGTATAAAAAGACCTTAGCAAAAAAAGACAGTTTAATATTTCTGTAATTCTTAACCTGTATGCAAGATATTGAAACCACTAAAATGTAAATCAATTTTTATCACTACTTTTAAACATCATGAGATGTTTCGAAGAAGAAGGCAAAAGCAATCTTATACTGTCCATGCCTTTCTGGTGCAAGAAAATCAAATTTTTAAAATAAAATATTTTATTTGTGTATATTATTAGTAAAAAAACCTCTTTTAATACATTATGTTGAAATCAGAAAATATTTTCATAGCTTATTTTTAGTTAAACCATACTAGAGAATTAATTTTTACAATAAATAACATTCTCAATTTACTCAATCTATTTTCATGGAATTTGGTAAGTATTACTGAACATTACAAGTATGTTGCACAAAAAATCTAAACTGTTAATAAGGTATTTCTGATAAATATTTGTCTCTGAATTTATGCAGTCAGACAGACTAAGAATCTGACTAGTCTGAGTGATAGGTGATTGTGTCAAAAATACAAATACTTTTTCCATATTTCATTTAAATATCTTCTAGAAGCTCCTAAATGAATATCAAAAGGTTTTTCAGTAAAACTTTATATTTTATCTGTTATTTTTTGTACCCTAACACTATACAGACTTCATCCATTTGAGGAACCTTGTAACTATCACAAGAAATATGAAATAAATTACTATTATTGGAGTTTATTACGAGATATTTCTATTAAGGTAATTAAAAGTACAACCTATATCTCCAGAAAGTATCTTATTAGTTTGATATTTCACTATTACAGCTTCATCATAAGCTTTATCAATATCTTAAAAGTTTACTAGTCCAATTGAATCTAAATTGGAACACCATTAGTAAATCAAACATCAATACAAATTTTTATATAATTCATATCATTAAAATAATATTAAACATTGTTAAATTTAATCTGTTGAAACAAACGAAATCAATGATAAGTAAATAATATTGTAAATTAATAAGTAAATTATTAAAATCTAGGACTTAGAATAGGATACATTACATATATAAAATACCTCTTCCTACTTGCATCTAAGTATTACCTCATCCTATTATATCAATACATACAAAAAAACAATGTCAGGAAATATATTTTAACCATTAAGAGGATGTATAGAGACTTCTTCATAATTCAAACATAATAAAATCTCAAGAATGCTGTTAATGTCTCTACACTAAAGGCCAACCTTTATATTTGTTCATTTCTTGATTAAAATGGATTTTTCAATCTTTCGGTCCAGAAAATGATGGCATTTAGATAAAATCTTGGTATCTGATAAGATGTTATCCACTTGTGGTAGGCCATGTTCTTATCCATAATGTTCAACTACAGCATTGTTAATACCGAGGTTTTGGATGTGATGCACTTGTTAAGATGTTCGATTATATATGGGTTGGCAAGTTTCTCCTATGAGCATCTACCACAAGTTACTTCATAAACAACATTCTTACTATGGCATCGATCATGTGGCCCAAATTTAGTGGCTTTACAGTTATTTTTTTACACAATGTTTCTTTCTTGTATGCTGAAGTTATTATTAATGATTTAAGGGAGATGCCTAGTTTTTGTACTATTTCAATACGTAAGTGTGATCTTTTAATTATTCTCTTCAGTTTTGTGATGATATCACTTATATATATGAAATCACCCAAATAATCTTTTAGTTTGCTCCCTTTATTCCGTGGTTTAAATGAACATGTCTGTTTCCTTTTTGTCTATCAAAATTTCTTATGTTTTGTATAAATTCCTGTGGATAAGCATTTTTTTATAAAATAATAAAATTTTCCCTAGCTTCTTCTAATACTTTTTTTTTTATTGAACACGGTTAATAACTTTAAGAACAAGAAATATTACCTATGTACACACACACACACACACACACACACATTATCAATTTAAATAATGTGAAAAATAATCACCACTTGTACAGATAAAGTAATAATCCCAGTAAGAAGCATCACTTACAAATGCACCAGATTAAAAGCACCATTTCCAATTATTATAATGTAATGTGAAAACTTTTTTTTACCTGTCCTTCTCTACATTGATAGTTTCTTTGTCTTTTGAAGATCTCCCACATGTATTGTTTCTCAAGAAATAAAACACACCACAATGGTAACACTTGTAGCAAGTCACATCAGTGATGATAAGTATCAGTAGAATGAGTACCACAACAATTGCAATAATAACTGCAGTGGGAACTTTTCCATCTTGAGTCATAGATTCTTCCTGATCAGAATCCTTTCCTATAGCTAGACATAATACACATAAATGTCTTCTGTATTGAAAAAATATTGCTTGGAAACTAACTTTCAAAATACAACAAAGCAACAGAACAAACAAAAATGAAGCTCACTTCCATGTTATCAATTAATGATTTAGAAAAATACCAATTCTACTTTTTATATATTACACACACACACTACAAATATCATCTCAGTACATAAACTAATCACTCTGTTACAAAAATAAATCTGTCTAAACTGGAGTTTAGCCTCTTTTCCAAATCTTACGCTTTATCTCGTTTGTCCTACTGTCTTCAAGCCATAGCATAAAGAAATCAGAGGTCTTTCTTCTACCAATCTCTTGGATAATCTTGTAAACTACAATAAAACCACTTTTACTCATCTTTTATCAAGAGAAAATAAGAGATCTTAAACTATCCACAGAATCATCCTAGTAGCACTTCTAAATCCTTTTAAATAAGTGAGTATTCTTTCCTGGATTAAGACCAAAACTCTAAACAACATTTCAAGTGAGGCCTAACTAGTGTTCTGTAATAATAACTACCACTTTTGATTTTATTTTTTTTATTATTCCCTTATCAATATCATTCATATAAATAAGAAAAAGCAAAGGCCTAGTTTAACTGGACTAGATTAATCACAAGATTTTACTATCAACCAGCAATACTTCTATTAATTAATCTTTTTTTAACTCCAACCAGTGTGATTTTCTGTATGTGTAGCACTTTACCAAAACGTTTTAGAAAACTTAACATCAAGAACACAACTTTTTCACCATTCATGTCAGAAGCAACATCTCAAAAAAGTTAAATTAGCAAGACAAAGATTTTTTTTTAGTGAATTCAATCCATGTTGGCATTCATTTATAATCTACTTCACTAAATGATCTAACAAAACTTTTTTTTTTACTCTTGAAAGTTTTTCTAGAATATAGAAACTAACCATTATTTAAAGAGAAATTATTGCCGCCTTTAAAAACAGGAATTATATTAATTAATATAGCACACCGTTTCTTCAACATAAAAGAAAAAGAAACAATATTAGTGAAGCGTAATACTATCCTATACACGACTAAATAATAATATCTATCTGTAGTCCTTCCCTTCTTATCAAAATTTTATGAAATATAATTGTATATTATGACACACTTAACACTGAAACATCAAATAGCAGAGAGGCAAATTGGATGAATAAATAAAAAGCCATGCAACTTATGCAAAATACAAGTATTTTAGGTTCAAATATAGCTTATTAATCTTCCAAAAACAAAATATTTCATATAATTTAGAAACTTTATAAATAACATTGTACTGAATATCAGGGAATTTCAAATATTGGTAATATGCTACGTTAACTGCTTTAAATGAGCTTTTGAAACAAGCTATAACCCAAACCTCCAAAAAGCTGAACTTGCATATATTGAAAGTTGTGTAACTACTGTTGAGGAGATATATATATATATATATATATACACACACACACACACACACACAACTAAA